GATAACCACTTTTTGTTAATTTTGATTCATATATTTTTTATTTTCATTAAATATTTTTATATTGCCAGAATTAGTTGGAATTCTGTTTTTAATATATATTGGTATATGTTTATATATATTAGGAAGGTGATTTGAATTTTTGTTTATATATATATTGGATTATTATTTGCATTCCTACAGGGTTTGTATGTATTATTATTTAAATTAAATGTTATGTCAAGAAAATTTACTATTTTTAGGTTAGATTTTATGTCTATTTTAAATCCTAATTTATTAAATATTTCTATTATTTGTTTTCTTATATTTTCTATTTTTCTACTGTTATAATTTCTTATAATTATTGGACCATCGTCTCTATATAAACCTATATCCTCTTTATTAATAATATTTGATAAATTATTTGTGATTTCACATGTATTTTTGCCATCATAACTGCACATTGTTATGTAGAAATTCTCATTCTTGTTGTTACAATTTTATTTTTTATCCATATTTTATTGTTGTAGTATAGTAATGATTTGCTGTAATACTTAATTATGTTTAATTCCTCATCTTGAATATTTAAGTGCTGCTTTGCTAACTTTAAAGTTTTATCTATCTAATTGATGGATAAAAGTCTTTTATATCTAATTGTATAAAAGAGCAATTGTTTTTATTTCTAATACTGTTAAACCAATTAATGGTTTCTTTTGTATTTTTTTTTTTGTATTAATTGTGGTGGTAAAGCAACGACTTAACTGATAATAGCAGATAGGAAATGCAAGGAGGGTAACCGACAAAATAGTGTCACACGTCCAACCTTCTCACGAGCAAAAAAACTCAGTCCTCAGAAACAAAAACGCGCCTGCTTTATACAGCTGAGGACCGACCATAATTTGCATGCGAATGGCAAGACAACGAGATTTAGCGTTAACTGTCTGAGACTGCCCGGCATAAAACATGGGCGCTGCCATTTTGGTTCTTTTACTGTTGAGCAATTGGAGTTTGCACGATGCACAGATTCGCGGGCGTTCCCGATGTAGGCCATTTTCACAATTTTCCCCACAGGTTTATATTGAGCATTTTTCTTAGTTTCGTACATAAGTTTTCTACTATTTTTTTTTGATTATTTTTCCAATATTAGTTTTTGTAGGAATTAATAGTCTACCTGTTGGTTTATTTAAAAATTGTCTTTGTGATCTTTTAATGAATGCTTCTACTTTTGTTAATTGTTTAATTCTATTATCTAATTTTACTTTGGTTGCTATGTTTTTTGCTTCTTTATTTATGTTATTTTCTAATTCATTATTATTAGTTTTGTAAAACTTATTTACCTCTTTTTCAATTAATTTTTTATAATTGGTTGATTCCATTTTATAGATTGTTCTTGATTTGTTGGCATGAATAAATAATTTATTTTATATCATTTATTAATTGTTTTTGGAATTTATTGTTGTTTGTTCTTGTTTCTATTGTATTTATTATGTTTATTAAGTCCTTTTCAAACTCTGAGTTCTTTTTGTTGAGGTGGGTATTTCATTGTCAAAAATCCAACCTTGTTGTTATTGTTATTATCATTATTATTGTGATATTTTTTAAGAAAGTATAATACTTTCCATTGTAGTCTTTTTGTGAAATGTCTATTTTTTCAATAAACTTAATTTTCTAATCATGTACATTTGTTATGGGAATATTTTTTAATGAATAATCATATTGTATTGATTCCATATTTTTTGGAAATAAAATAATAGTAATTGATTGATATTTATATAATCATATTAAATTATTAAATAAAAAGAATGAAATTATGGGTCGATGCTGACATATTAATAAATATTTACTTTGTTACTTTAATAATAATAATATAACATAATAAATCAATTAAAATATGAATTAAAAATATTAACTAAAATATAATTTAATTAATAATAAAAATTAAGAAATATTACAATTTAATTAATAATATAACATAACATAACAACTTCTATATAAAGCATAAAAGAAATTTAAACTTAATTTCGAAGAAAAATTCAATTTCAAAGAAAAAATTAAAAACTGTTAGAAAAATCTACAGCTGAAAAAAATGAAAGACGTAAACAAAAGCAAAATTTCATGAATGTGTATGTGTAAAAATGTGTACAAAACAGTAAAAAAATGGATTGAAAAAGATGTGGAACAAATTGAAAAAAAATTGGAAATACTGTTTAAAACCAGAAGCCTTGAAGACTGGAAATTTTACCAAGAAACTTCTAAGTTGGTAAAAATTGATATTTAAAAACTAAGTAATCCATTCCATTAACATTATATATATATATATATATATATATAAATAAATAAAAGGAAAAGGTTATAGTGGTTCCAACAAGAGTAAAGTGTGTATATTAAAAAGAAGAAAAAAACGCAAACGTTTTTGGTTGTAACGTGCATTTAAAAAAAAAATATTATGCTTTATTTTCCATAATTTTGCTGCACACGTTTCCAGTCTCGCGACCATCATCAGGCAAATGGTGGAGATTTCCACATATTATTAAAAATAATTAATTTTTTCTTTCTTTCTTTAAAAAAATTAATTATTTTTAATAATATGTGAAAATCTCCACCCTTTGCCTGATGACAGTCACGAGACCGGAAACGTGTGTAGCAAAATTATGGAAAATAAAGCATAATATTTAAAAAAAAATATATCCACATTACAACCCAAAACGTTTGCGGTTTCTCTCTTCTTTTTAATATATATCAGGTCATCCCATAAGTTGTCCGAATTTTAATATTTTGTTAAAATGAACGAAATTTAAAGAGTATTTTATAATGTCTAATGGAGCTGAACATTATTTTTATGTTTAGATGCATTTAAACTGATCAAATTTTATTTCAGAGAACAATAAAATTAAATTTTGTTTGATTAAAACCCTGCTAACATGGAAGTACCCAAGAATCATTTGAGGCACATGATGCTTTATGAGTTCAAGAAAGTAAACTCAGCAGCCGAAGCAGCTAGAAACATTCACTCAGTTTATGGAGAGGAATGTGTGAATGAAAGAACTTGCAGAAGATGGTTTGCAAAATTCAGAGGTGGAGATTTCACCCTTGAAGATGAAGATTGAACCAGACGTCCAGTTGAGTTTGATGAAAAGCTTCTTGAAGCAGACCTTGAAGAAAATCCTGCTTTATCAGTTGAGGAATTGGCAGTAGTTCTCAGTTCAAACCATACAACTGTTCATCGTCATCTTCAACAACTTGGAAAAGTTCCTAAGCTTGGAAAATGGGTGCCTCATGAATAAGCTGAAAACAACCTCAAATCCCGAGTTGACATCTGCTCTTCTCTCCATTCTCACCAACTTGTTTCACCCTTTTTGGATAGACTTGTGACTGGCGACGAAAAATGGATCTTTTATCGAAATGTTAAGCATCGTAGACAGTGGCTTGGTAAAGGGGAAGGACCCCAGCCACAGCAGAGAAGGGAACTTCATGGGCAAAAGGTTCTTCTTTCAATCTGGTGGGATCGCCAAGGAATAATCCACTTTGAATTCTTACCCCCTAATGCAACAATTGATGCTCAAATATACTGCCAGCAATTAGAGCATTTGAACCAAGCTTTGAGGAAAAAAAGACCTGCTCTAGTGAACCGAAAAAAGGTGATGTTTCATCAGGACAATGCGCGACCCCACACAACAAGAATCACGTCACAAAAGATCGAAGAACTTGGTTGGGAGAAAATTCCTCATCCACCTTATTCTCCTGATCTTGCTCCTTCAGACTACCACTTATTTCGTAGCTTACAGAATCATTTGGAAGAAACAGCTTTTGTAACACAGGAAGAGGTTAAAACTGATATTTGTGAGTTCTTTGAATCAAAGCCAAAAGAATTTTACAGTAATAGAATTAGTAAGCTTGTTAATAGATGGAAGGAAGTCATAGATAATCAGGGAAAATACATTGTTGATTGAATCTGTAATTAAATGTAACATTTGGTCACTTGTTTTCTTTATTCAAAATTCGGACAGAACTTATATATATATATATATATATATATATATATATATATAAATAAAAAAAAGAAAGAACAGCAAGATATATAATCCAGTGTTCTTATAGATATTTTTATTTTTACAAAATAGTGCTCAAGGTAAATTTACAGAGCATTACATCCCTTCCCACGACCCAAACGTAGCAATAACTGATACATTAAATTATAGACATACTGAAAACCCAGCCACCCCTGTCTAGAAAAATAGATTTATCTGTAACCTTGGAAACATGAATTTTGTTTTAGCTGTGTATTTAAACCCAGTAATTTTAAAAAGTTACTTCAAAATTCGCTTGAGGATGAAATGGAACTAATGTCTTTAATTTAATCACAAAATTAAATTTGTGGCTTTTAGCTTCCATTTTTGAAACATGGTTAGAACTGGGTAGCAAAAAAAAACATATTTTAAATCAATTAATTTATAATATATATATATATATATATATATATATATATATATATATATATATATATATGAATAAATCAGAATCAATTAGATTCCAGTGGATTAAAAGCACAAATCTGGCCGAATTTTTTTTTTAATCAAAAATTTTTTATTTTCATTAATGACTTTATTATTAAAATTAAATATTTTATCTTTTTACTTCAACTGAGTTGAGTTTTTCAAATTACAAATTCTGTGGAACTTCAAAACTTCACATCAAGAAACATTTCACTTTAACTTTGATTCCTTGAAATTTTGAAGAAATAAAATTGATTTCTTTAATTCACAAAGTTTTGGAGATATTTTAAACTGAATTTAAAACAAAAATTTTCGTGTTACTTTAAACTCAATATAAATTAAAAACTTTTAAAATCATTAACTTTTTTTCAATTATTTTAAAATTTGAATTTTTAACTGTTCCTGCCTCATCCAAACACAAATCCCAATGCTGGATGTTCAAACACCAGATGAAGGGCAAATTTTCAATCCCAGGATCATCCGGATTCCAAAAACATATAATATGTCTATGTACAGCAAGTGTGGCACAAATTAGAGGGGTTTCAGACATGTGGACAGATAGATAGATAGACAGATAGATAGATAGATAGATAGATAGATTATGTGTTTTATTGCTTTATTATTTAAACATTATATTTTTTACACTCTTTACATTGCTCGGACTATCATCCTCATCTTTGTTGCCATATTTATCACAACGTTTCGGCTGTTGTATGCCCTGGCCTTCTTCAGGTGGTTGGAATGTTGAAGTGAACCCTTTATTTCACTCGCTGGGGTAGACTGTCCTAGTTCCACATGCCATATCAGTTATCTCCTGTTAATTCCCCTCACCAAGTTCTCCACCGCCTGAACCAGGTATTGAACTCACGCTCTTTGGGCCCTGTCACTGAATCTAACTAACGCCTTTATCCACTGTGCCGAAACATTGTGATAAATATGGCAACAAAGATGAGGATGATAGTCCAAGCAATGTAAATAGTGTACATAATACTTCATCTCAGAAATATAGACAGATTTTATATTCTTTATTGCTTTATCAGTTAAATATATTCTTTATTGCATTATTATCAAATTTAAATATATTTTTATTGCTTTGTTATTAAATTTAAATATACATGAAATATACTTTTTCTTAAAAAAATGACAGTAGAGCAGATTCATGAGTGTATTATGTCTATACGTGAATTTCTTGCACAATTTATAAAAGAATTCACAAAATCATTTTTAAGATGATAAGCCAAATGCAAAGGATTTGAAAGCCTACCTTGTTGATTTGGAAAAAAAAAACCAAAAAAAAACAGAAACTACTTTTTTTTTTTTTTACAGCTCAGCCCTCGGTGCAGAGGGGGAGGTTGATTGATGTTTGGTAATAAAGTCCAGATATTGCAGTGAAAGGCTGTGGATACAGGAAGGCTCAGTACAATGTCCAATCTACTTCAGTGATGGCAACTGGGCCATGAATGAAAGAAACTAATATCAAAGGTTTTGTGCAGAAAATATCAGCAGGAGTTCTGGTGAAAAATCTCACATAATTTATTTAAAAAAAAAATTTTTTATGGTGTTACAGGTTGGGTAGCAGACAGTCAGGAACAAAAAAAAAAGAGAATGAAGACTGTGATTTTATAACAGAGGTATGAACATCTACTCATAACAAGGATTAGTTTTACTGGTTTTGAAAACTTTTGAGTAGCAGAGCACAGTGGGCTTGCAATTGGACATTTTGTATGTTTGGAACATTTCCTTAAGTGATATGTTCTGTATCTAGTCTCGTAGTAGACAGTCTTAGGATTTCAAAACTGGTCTAATTTTATCGTAACTCCAAGTATTTGTCAAGTTATGATCATTTAAAGTTAATCAAAACTTGTATACATTTAATCATTTACTTTTAGATGAGCAGTTCTGGATAGTTGCTTTTTTCTGTCTCTTTTTGCTAGAAAAATCATTGGAATCTTGTTGAAACGAATGTTCGAAGTGACAGGCAGGTTTAACTTGACACTCTTTTAAAAAAATTGACCATTATCAAGTTGATTTTGGCCACACAACAAAAATTTTCCTTTTTGATTAAAAAAAAAGAATCTCCTTTCAAAAAGCAAGTGAATTTGCTCTAAAATAAGGGGTATTCACAATGTAAGTAATCAGTAATGAGAAGGCAGTATTTGACATTTGGTTAGAAATATCAACCTAATTATGAGCTCCCAGGCTTTTATTGTTACCTTTGATGGTCAGCATTGACCACTTTGGGGACTCCTGATATAAAGAAACTTGATTTCTGTTCATAGTACAATAGTTAACATTATATTCTAAGAAGGAACTGCTAGTGAATGTTAAAACTTCCAAATTTTATAGCCTCTCAGAGTGGGTATTTGCTATTTCTGGAACATTTCTCCAAGTTATATGTCCTGTAACTAGTTTGAAAGTAAACAGTGTCAGGATTTCGAAAGCAGTTTAATTTTGTCCTAACTCTAAATATTTATCAAGTTATGGTCGTTTGAATTTAATCAAAACTTGCACATGTTCTATCATTTAATTTCAGATGATCAATTCTGGTGAGATGTTTTTTTTTCTGTCTCTTTTTACTAGGATAAACAAAAAAATGCTCAAGACAAATATTTTTTTTTCCTTTTTAGGCTAAGTTCCCAAATATCAAAACAATTTAAATATGAAAGATGTAAGGAAATTGTTGTCAAGAATATATTTAAAATTTGTCCAGTTCCTTTCAGACATTAAATTGATCATTAAATGCTTTTGGCACCAGATACTGAACACCAAATATCAGTTTCCAACATAACTTTCCTTGTATTCATCATAAAATTGAACAATCTAGACCTCTATTCTCTGGTTCATTTTCAGAGTGAATTCATTTTTAGTCTTGTAAATTACACCAAAAGAAGTCTAAATAAGTTAAAGGAAAAATTTAAACTCTTTTCAAGTATTTTGACCTTTCACTAGCATTTCCAGACCGAAGCTCTGACATTGTTTTTAATTAGAAGTTTTGTTTTAATCTTCTGTTGAAATCCAAATAACATTAATACATTTCCATAATTGGGTTGAAAATCATTCTGGAGGCTCAAAAGCCATAAATATGTCCGCTTGGCTTTATTGTGCGAACCCACTGTGCAGGGTAGGAGAAGCAAAACTATGGGCATCAGAAATACAGAACAATATATATATATATATATATATATATATGAAAAACTCAATATGTATGCATATATACATAGATGTGTATAATGAAACAAGTCAGCCAAAGGCAACAATATAAAAATCAAATAAAAAGTTAAGAAACATGTATACTGTAACTTTTCTTGGAATTTTGAAGATGAGGAATTATTATTATTTTCATATGGTTTGCTATTCAGACTAGTAGCTTGTCTTGCTAGCTTATACGCACAATGTTTCAGCCACTTTACTGAGCCTTCTTCAGGTGTCTGTCTTTGTACTTGGTAACCATCTTGGAATTTCAAACTTAACCCTTTATTTAATTCACAAGGGCAGAATGTTCTCATTCTACTTTTCATGCTTAAGGGACATTTCATATCGGTTAATACTCACCAGTTTGACACTAGTATAACAAAGAAAGATGAGCATGCTGGACTGAATAGCAAAGCATATACTAATGTAAATTGTAGTTTTGCTACAGAGTCTAAACTTCTGATATATTTTGACAAAGAATTGCTTATAGTGCAGTAATCAAACTAAAATAGCATGGGCAAGGGAAGTGCTAAAAGGTTGTAGATCACATAATGATAAAAATAATAATATCTGGGGATAATATTATTAAAAGCAGTAGAATTCTGAGGAGAGAACTGAAGCTATGAGGAGACTTACTGCCATTTGATTCCCAATGACAACAGACAGAATCTTAAACTAAATATGGGATACATTAGTTAACTTTACTTCCTTTTCCCTAATTAGTACCCACCATACTTGGCTAGATCATGTGAGTGATGTATCAGTCAGTACAGAGAAAAGTTTTGAAGTATAAGCGAGGATGATTTTCCACCACATGGGAAAAGCACTGCCTTTCACAAAATGAGAAGCTTGAATTGTGAGTAAATCGTATTCACTAGATTTGATTTTTCAGGTTCTGAGAGAAGGTAGGTAACATATTTATAAACTTTGTTAGCATGTTTTCTTTGTATAAAATAAAATCTTTCATTTAGGTTCTTCCAGCTTCTCCTCAGCTGTTTTTTTGGGTTTTTTTTAATGCTGGGTAAATAGCTTTACCTATGGCAGGTACAATTGAGGCTACCCATATATATTTGGTAATTACCAATACATTAAAAAATTACTATAATCAGAGTGGAGATGTTTTTGTAAGCGGGCATCAGTTGGCTTTTATAATATACTTCTCATTCCTTAACTCGTTAATGCCATGTAGTATTAATTACATAAAAGGAAAATAAAAATCCAGTATGAATTGTAGGGTTTAAAAAAAAAAATCACCCGGTATTATAAATGTTTAAAAAACAAAAAGAAAAATGGGTATTGATTATAGGTTTAAAAAAATGACCAGTATTAAATGTAAGCTTCTAAAAACATCTAAAACTACCCTCTATTAATTATAGTCTTCTAAAACAATCCAGTATTAGAGGTCTATGCCTCTAAGAACATCCAGTATTATAGATTTCTAAAATCATCTAGTATTAATTATAGGCTTCTAAAAACATCCAATATTAATTAAAGGCTTCTAAAAACATACAGTATTAATTATAGGCATCTAAAAGAATCAGGTATTAATTATAGGTTCCTAAAAACAACCAGTATTAAATGTAAGCTTTTAAAAAATCCATCATTAGTTATAGGTTTTTAAAACTATGCAGTATTAATTATAGCTTTCTAAAGTTATTCAGTATTAATTATAGGTTTCTAAAAAAAAAAATCAGGTATTAATTATAAGTTTCTAAAAAAATCTGGTATTAATTATAGGTTTCTAAAAAAAATCTGGTATTAATTATAGGTTTCTATAAAAAATCTGGTATTAATTATAGGTTTCTATAAAAATCAGGTATTATAGGTTTCTAAAAAGCTCCATTATTAATTAATATATCCAAAGCATGGTTGATTGTTTAGGTTAAAATCAACCTGACAAAATTGGCCTAACCACTTTCTGACAATCTGAAGAGTTGGAGCCTAATTAACCTTCTGAATGTTTTTTGTTACAGTTCTGACACTCCTTTCCAAAATTCACAGAGCATAATATGGTGAATGTGCAACTTTACATCCGCCATCTTTAAGGCATTCCTTTGTGGACAAAATGTCAACATTCAACAAAGTCTGACTTGCAACTGAATAATGCAAGGTTTCAGTCTAGAACACACTGGAAATCGGCACCAGCACAAATGATAGTGTCATATTGCAGTCATTTTATATTAACAATGAAAATCAGACAGGAACATTTGCATTATCAAGTCTTTCAGTTTCTGCAAGGTCTTTCTTGGAATATGTGGTCTTGTGTTGGTGGTGGAAAATGAGGCCATTTTTTTAAACCCAAGTCTCTTCAAATGGCAAAAGGCCATTGAGATACTGATTTTCAAACTCTTAGCAATATTTTCCATTGAAATCTTAGGCTTATTCTCCATGATGTTAAGCAGAACATCTTCATCGATGTTGG